TATGTATGTATATCTACATATATATATATATATTTATTTATTTATTTTATTTACTGAATATCTATATATATATAAACATACATACACTGACATACACACATTATACACACCCGGCATGTTTCTTATGTGTATCTATCTATCTATCTATCTATCTAAACTAACCTAGCCTGACCTAACCTGTCGGTCTATCTATCTGTCTATCGATCTATCGGTCTATCTAACTAACTATCTAGCTACCGATACATGCACGTGCCGGTACAGACACACTCATTCATTCCGTATCTATATGTTCATGTATATACTGAGTGCACATAGATCCATACGTGCATTCGAGCCTGTTTTTGCGTGTCCGCATATTTTTTTCCTGGAGCTCGCGTCGGCATACCAGCCTGTGTTTTTCGTTCAAAAAATAAAGATGTTTCGTACGTCTGTTTATTGGTTCTCCAAGGTAAGGGGGGCTGATCGCTACGTATAAATCCCAACGCGATGACGGGCTTACACCGAATGGTAGGTGATACACCCAGCCATGCAGTAGAGATTTGGGATTCTGCTACCAAGTTATTGTTGAGAGTATTCGTGTTTGCCACTCCTTATTTCCTTTTGGGCTCTGGGCATATGATCAATCAGCGTCTTCATGCTTTGCAACCTCGAAACAAGGCTCGTCATCAGTTCTGTCTTTCCAGGATTTCAGGCTTGACACACATCATTCCACATCAGCGGGAACCCAAGCGGCCCGTTTAGAGGCTTGCAGCGTTGGCCACACACCATGCTCTTGTCAAGGTTCGGATTGTGGGTTTGCGACCTATCATCTCGGAGTTCGACATGTGTATGACCTGGTCGGTGTTTACCAGGTTTACCATCCGCTATCTGCTGCTGAGGGGGTTATTGGAGATGCTCTCGTCAAAACTTGGGCTTCGTGGGAATCAGTATGAACGGGTCACCCTTTGGAAACCCAGCCATGCAGTAGAGCTTTGGGAAGCTGGCCATCCATCGTATGTATGTATGTATGTGAAGAAAAATGTATACGGGTGTGTATATATATATACATATCTATATGCACATATACATACATGTATACATATATGCATATTTACATACATATGTATATACACACATATGTTTATATTGATAGTTATATCTGTATCTTTTTTGTATGTATACTTAGATTTATTTTTTCTGTTTATACCTACATCTATATCTATATCTATATCTATATTTTGTATATTTACATTCATATGTACATGTGTGTATGTTAGCCGGTACTGAAACCATGCTATGCCATGCAGCATGGGCTTGTGTGGGTTCAGTTATACTTTGTTGCTTGCATATATGCAAGTGAAACACACATATCTGCAGCACAAGACTCTATAGGTTCAAAACAAACTGCTACAAAACTTTGGCCTGCAGTGCAATACCCTCTGTCTACATCTGTATCTATATCTACATCCATATCCATCTTTCTATGTATATATATATATGTCTAATATATGTACACATGTATGTATATATATACATACATATAGATATGCATATGTACAAACAGATTCGATTTTCAGGTACATGTATGGGTCACCTGCGCTCGCGCACGTGCGTGCGCGCACAGGTGTCTCTGTCTGTCAAATCTATGCCTTAGGCCCCTTTGTTTTTTGGGGAGCGGAAAGTGAGTCAAGGTAATGCTTATATGCAGAGATTACCGTTCAACAAACGCACAATCTGCAACAACTCCTAAGATACATCCAGTCTCCATCGACAAACACCCAAGTCATCGCAATGCTCGCTTGCTGTTTGGCAGTGTTCCGAGAAGAATCTGCAATACGCACTACCAGGGACCGCAAGAGCTGTGCTTTGATCTCAGTCTCAAAATACACAAGCAGCCCCGTTCTGTGCAGCAATGTTCTTCGTCATGGTGAGTTGCTGCGAAGTGTAGAGATGGAAGTTGCCCCCTTCAACGGACCCTTTCGCAAGCGCAAGAGCAAATTTAAGCACCCTTACTCGCTCTACCCCCAAATTGAAACTCAAAATCCTGATCCCTGACCTCAAAATTTAAATCCCCAACTAACCCTAAACACGAATTCCCAGAACCCCTAAACCCCAGATCCAAAGCCGTCCTCGAGCTGGTACCCATCTCTGAAGATGAGTGGAGCATCCTTTTCCCAAACACCCTGATGGCCAAAACGTGCCAGGAAGTAGGCTAGATTCCAGTCAAACCTGGGATCTGTGGGTTTAGTCCACGGCTTAGTCGAAGGTTTAGGGTAAGGCGCTGTTCAAGTTGAATAGGGCCAAACTTTTCGGGAGTGGCTTAAGAGCCATGAGGAAGAGGGGTTGGCTTATCCAACTTTACGCTGAGGTGCTTCGGGTACTCCGACACCCCACAAACAAATCACATTTACGGACGGGACATGGGCTGTAGACCGCACAGCAGGACACGAAACTCACGCCGTTACCTGAACCCTAAACAACTTACCTGGCTAGGGTGCCTATTCTGGTTTCCTCATTTAGGTCCACACCCGCCACAAACCCCAAACCCTAAACCCCTAACGACTTGGAGCCGGCCTTCTTGACAGGGGTTTGATCCCTCCAAGCCTTCACGACTAGGATCCGGCTTGCCCTCTTGACAAGGGCTTCCCCAACCCTTCAAGCTCTAAACCGTGGATCAAGGCACCCCTGGATGTTTCCAGCACTGACCACGGTATTCCAGATGCCGTCCCTGTTCTGCCTCACGATGATGTTGTAGACTTTTTTGGCGGCGGAATGATCCACAAAGTTGATGAAAGCCAGTTCGATGTTGCAGTCTGCCCGCTTATCGAAAGGAACGTAGAGAAAATCAATCTGGGTGAGCTTGAGCCTGTTCTCCCGTAGCCATTCCACGATCCTCTGGGCGTCCCAATCTTCTGGCAAACGCCGGAGCATCCTTTCGGTTTAGGGTTTAGGGTTCCGCACCAAAGGATTCCGTAACTAAAAATCATCGAACCCAACAACCGTGAACTACCAATAGGCCCCTAAGTGGTTCCTTTTTGTGGCTCATATGTAGAATCCTATAAGGTAATCCCAAAAAGGAACTACTTAGGGGCCTATGGGTACCCTAAACCCTAAACCCCTAAACCCTAAGAGAAACATCAAAGCATCAAGGTGGTCGCCGCTTCGGTGAGGCCGCTTCTCCGCTGTGGGCGCATCGCTGAGCTGAGCGAAGGTGGGTGCTCTACCCCTGAGCATCAAAATAGCTCAAAAGCCTTGTATAATAGGGTCTTTGGGCTCAAAAGCCTTAAAATATGAGTCCTTTGAGGGTAAGGGTACCCGAGTCGCAGCACTTGTGCCAACTAAGACGAGAAAATGTCGGGAGGTGGAAGACGGTGTAGAGGTTCTAGTGGAAACGGTGTCTAGCAAAGGGACCATAATCATTAGAGTCGGGTTTTGGCCGGGTATATTATTATATACTATTATTATAAGGAGCCCCTACGAATAGTCTTGGTTCTTATTGAGGTCCCTATCTAGCGTTTAGGGCTTGAGACGGCTCCTTAGTTAAGTTACGTACATGCGGCAAGTCCGGTCAGGGGACACGGCGAGTTTGAGCAGAGATGGCCCGTGCTCTACAATACGAGGCGGTTTAGGTTTTAGGGTTTAGGGCTTAGGGTTTAGATTTGTCAAGGAGGCATCAGCTAGATCAGCAAGCGCATGCTGAAGCAAGTTGTGAGATTTCGACAGTCTTCGACGACTACTGCCGCCGTGCGGCGCGTGGTGTGAAAAGCCATGCACAACTGGTTTTGAACTATCGCTGTAAGAGGGCTGGGGGAACTGCAGAACAAACAGATGGAACACGAAAGACAGTGGCAAATACTGCTAAACCCTGAACCAACTCCAAGCAATCAAACCTCAGGATATTTCGGACTTAACCTGACCATAGCCGGATAGCTTGCAATATCTGCGCTGACCCAGCAGACCCGGAACCCGACCGCAGCTTCTCTCGATTCTGACTTCCAATCACTGTTAAAGCCCACAAGCAGAGCTTCCGAAGGAAATCGGAAGAATGTCTCAAGCAGAAATCAGAAGTAACGCAAGCCCCGACCCGAACGGAAAACATCCAAACAAAACCGCTGATGCGACCGCGACTAGGTCTAAGACGACGGCAACGAGGACAAGCACCGAAAGCAACTGCATTGAAAACACATTCTGTGGCCCTACACCGAAACCCTAAGACCCTAAAACCCTAAACACCAAAACCCCAAAAACCCTAATTACTAAACACCCTAAACCCCAAACACCCTTAATCCCCTAAAGCCCTAAACCCTCAACCGGTTAGGGTTGAGGGTCAGGGTCAAAGTTTTTGTGTCTCCGTCCGTTTCATTCCAGCTTTCTGAGAACTCGTTCAGGGTTTAGGGGTGTAGGGGTTTAGGGGTTTAGGCGGTTTAAGGGTTAGGGGTTTCGGGTTTAGGGTTTGGGGTCTAGGGTTTAGGGTAAATTTTTCCAATGGCCAACCTGGAAGACAGCTGGCAAACTTAGAACCAATGGAAGAAAGCCGGAAAATAACAAATTTAGCCACATTGAGAGAAAACTTGGAGAGAACACCAAAAACAAGCAGAACAACTAAACAAAAGCTGTAAGCCTATGTTGACTTATGATGTCAATTGAACTTCTTTCCAATTTCACTTCATAGTCCGGTATGCTTGTAGCAGACATCGGAAGTCACAAGGGTAGACTTTATGGAAACTAGACAGGGGCCGCCCCAACCCCAAATGCGGAAAACACTTTCTCAGCCGAAGCCCCAAGCTGAAAGATGACCCCTCTGCACAACCGCAAAAGCATAGCTTTAAAGAGCCGTTCAGGCCCTAAACAGTCGAAAGATCCCTTGTCGACCCCTAGAGCCCTGAAAGGGCCGGATAGTAAACCCTGGCCCCTGCAAACCCGAAGCCCGAAACCTCAACCGCCCGGGCCATATTCTGAACCCCAGAAAGTTGGAACATGGACTTGGGATGATTAGTGCTGGGATTCCCTATACATTTACCAAATAAAGCACATGGGGATAATGATGCTCCAACTTTCTGGCTCCTAAACCCTAAACATAAAACTATAAGCCTTAGAATCAATCCCTAAACCCTAAACCTGGCTTTTACTAAGAACTCCGTCGATATCCCAGGCGCCCGAGGTAGGTCATGCATGCCGCGGTCTGGTTCCTCATGCTTCTGGGGTTAGGGGTTTTAGGGGTTTCAGGGGTTTTAGGGGGTTTAGGGGTTTTAAGGGTTTTATAGGTTTTAGGGGGCTTTCGGGGTTTTAGAGGCTTTAGGGGGCTTTCGAGGTTTTAGAGGTTTTAGGGGCTTTAGGGGTCTCAGGGTTTAGAGCTTTAGGGCTAGAGGGTTGGGGATTTCAGCACTCACACTCGGACAATGCCTGGGCGAGGGGTCCTGGTACGACGACGCTCTTTGGCGGAGGCATTAACACGGACAACCCTTTAGGTATCAGTCAACTGCACATTGGCAGACACACACGAGGCTCCACTGCAATCTTTCTAGCACATCTTGGTTCAGCCGCAGACCCTGTTCTCACCATATGGCATGCTGGTCCCGGTTCGGCATTCCGCATGAATTCCGGACTCCAATATGCATCAGTCAATTCCAGCTCCCCATTCGAATGGCATGCATGTAAAGCTGAGTATGCCAAAGCTTGTCTCCACCCCAGAGGTGACACATGTGTTCATGTCCACATCGACAATGTAGAAAGCTCAAGTGATGAGCAAGCCATGCAGACCCAGAAAACTTCATGCAAAGGCGCCTCCACATCGGCAATCACAAATTCTCCACATTGACAATCACAAAATTCATGAATTCTCCACATGTGGCAATCACAAAATCATGAATTCTCCAGAGGACCATGCAGAAAAATGTATCTCACCTTGCTGACTGTCTGTCCGCCACAGAGACCCTCATGGTGGGATCGCTCTCGCTGCTGCCGCGGTCCCACCAGCAACGACTTTGATTTTTAAGCAATCCACTCATCCACTAAAGGTTTGCGACTGAAAGCCCCCACAAACGCTAAGGTACACTGGTTAAGGGAATGGGCCTCTCAGCAGTGGGTTTTTTGGTCAGTAAGGCAACTTGGATAGCCCTCCATTGCTGTGGGGTCTGAAAGGTGTGCTCTACATCCTCAATGACTTTGCACAAGTCCTCAATGGCAGCATGCGGAAAAGCTTTCAGGATTTCATAGGACACGCCATCTACACCACACGCTTTACACGCACATTTGTCAATCATGCTTTGCAACCAGACGGCATCAACAATCGGTTTATCCCGGATCTCACGCAAAGCAGTGACAGCATGCTGCTCCATCAGACCATCACAAACATTTGGGATGGAAAGCGGCTGAAAATGAGTGCTTGAAAGGATTAACGGCCGCATGGGAGTGCTGGCTTCCCCCAAATGTCAGCCCAGTATTGCCTGCGCACAGCAGGCCGATCCTCCAAAGGTAGGTGATTGTAGGGCCGAAGCAAAACAGCATCATCTTTCTGAATGGCTTTATACTACCTTTATTGGAGGCCCCTTTCAACCACGCAGCATAACCTTCAGCTTGCAGGCGCACAGCAGATTGGATTTCGGCATGATGGAAACGCTGGATGGCATCACGCTCAAACTGCAAACCATTCCGAGCCTGCAATCTACCGGCAAGGCCACTCAGCCAAGTCTTGGCCTCAGCCTGAAAGGCTTGCACAAGGACAGCCAAACGCCGCCACCAACCTAAGACGGGTTTGCCTGACCCCAACCAACATACTGCAAAGTGGCAGGGAGGTTGTCAATCTCCTTGCAACTTGCCTTGGAACTCAAACTTAGGGAAACCAATGAGCTGCGGCATACATTTACCAGCACCTGCCAGCAGATCTTCACCGTGAGAAGCCCTCGTGGGTGGCCACAACACGCCCACGCATCGTTTCGGCAATGCTAAGATTCGCAAACTCCAGGCAGTATAAAGCGAGCTCAGAGATGATGCGGTGCGAGCTGAACGCAGAATGACCACCCAGGTGAGACCTCGCCGAGTTCAAGCCCTCCAGCGTTGCCTGCACCTCGGCCTAAGTCCCACTGCCGCACCTCGTGTGAACTTCAGCACGTAGCTGAGGTCCCGCCACCCACACATCGGGTTGGCGAAGCGGTTCTTCATCCGAGCCACCTCAACCTGGGCGTCCTTGGCACACGGTTTATGCCTGTGACGATCTTCTGGACATCCTGAGGGTGGCTGCACACAATCATGGCACGGGCAACGTCCATGACCCCAAGCGTGTTAAACCGCCCCTGCCGCAGCTTGTCCTCGCATCCGCACCAGCCATCGTGAAGAATGCAGTCGTGGAGCGCTTTCTCCACAATGCGGAACGCGTTCTTCAAGCGCCCCTTCACAATCTGCGGGCTGCCGCTCTCCGGGGCAAGCTGTTTCAGCAGGCCTTCAAGAGCCACGTCCGCGACTGCGCCCATCTCCAGGCTTGTCGCCAAGCTGCAGGCATCCTTGCTGGATGGCAGCCAGATCTTCGTGCGGGGCAATCTCCGGCACATCCTGAAGCTCCCTGACGTCATCCTCAATGATCGAGTCGATCACAAGGCCTCAAACGTTTTCATCCTGTTTTGAGCACGGAGCTGCATCTCCTTGGTCGACGGGTGCTGCAAAAGAAGGCGCCACACCTTCAGAAGGAAGGCGGCAACTTTCACGCCGTGCTGGTTCACCGAAACCCGAAGCGCTTGTGGCAGCCGGATGTTTGTGTTGACATCCGAGACAAACTGCACATCCTGCCTGTTTGGCAGGGGGCCAGCCTCAAAGCAGCTAATCCATGTCAGCTTCTGCATGGCCTCCTTGACGACCCAAGCTTGGCAGGCTTGGAAAGCCGCCTGAGCCTCTGCCACCTTACGCTTCGCGCTGGGCCTGGCGCACGCTCACTCCGTCCATACCAGATCGTCAAGCTCAGGGTCCTGCAGGGACATGTTCTTGACTGTGGCGCCAGCCATGTTGGAGAGCTTGACCCACTCCTCCAACGTCTCTTCGCAGAGCTTCTTGTTGAAGTCCGCCACCACTGCCTGGTTGAAATTGTGCCGCCTCTTGTTCTGCTCGAGATACAAGTAGCTCCGGTACAGAATCTTCGCCTGCACCGCTGGGGGAAGGCGGTTATCACCGTAAAGCTGCAAGGAGCCGGCGTTCTCGAGACACA